ACTTAGATTAGAAGGTCTTCTATTTTCTTAATAACTTGATTGGGGGGTGCTCCTGCTTCACAAAGTTATTGGCCTGTTTTCTCTTAATTTATGTGTTTTCCTTGCTGGATGATGTTGCTAACTACTTCTCTGACGCCCAATCTACCAATTTATTACCATGGTTGAACTTAGAGCCGAAACCGACCCAAACCGACCCAACCCAACTCAAACCGACCAGCTCGGTTTTGCTTAACACAAGGTCGATTTTGGTTTCAATTTCAGGTAACCCGACCAGGTCGGGTCAGTTGGAAAAATCTTGGTAAACCGACCCAACCCAACTCGTGAACAGCCCTACCTCTTAGAGACTCTGAATTGGATTCCATTTCTAATTTGATTAAGATTTTGGAGGAGGTAGTTGTTGACCCCTCTAGATTGGACAATAGGATTTGGGTCCTACTCCTTCGGGTATTTTTTTCTTGCTCTTCCTTCTTCAAGGAATTAACCCATTCCCATTCGGCCCTTGATCCTCCTTTCCCAGCTCCGAAAGTTTGGGGTAGACCAATTCCTCCCAAAGTAGGTGCTTTATGCTGGGAAGCTATCCTAGGAAAGTGTAACACTTGTGACTTAATTGAAAAGAAAAGGCCAAGATGGTGTTTATCCCCACACTGGTGTATCTTATGTAAGAGGAATGGTGAGAGCTGTTATCACTTATTTGTTTCCTGTCCTTTTGTTTCAGAAATCTGGTGTTGGTTTTTCTCTTTTTGGTTGCAGGTGGCCCACTCCCCCAAGTGTACTAAGCTTGTTTAACTATGTCCCAGTGAGGGGTTTAAAAAAGAGAGGTAAGATCTTGTGGAGATGTGTAGGAGAAGCTGTATGTTGGTCAGTGTGGGAGGAAAGAAATCAATGAACCTTCCAGGAAAAAGAAAGGAACAAAGAAGCCATCATTGATTTAATCTACATTAGGGTGGTTCATTGGGTCAAGTCTACGGAGCTTTTTGAAGGTATTTCAGCAGGAGACATCATTAGAAATTGGAAAGAAGTTGCATGGTCTGCTCGGCTGTTTAATGCTACTGTTCCAACTTGGTCTCCTCCAACTATGGGGTTCACTAAATTGAATTTTGATGATAGCAGCAAAGGGAACCCAGACCTTTCAGGTATTGGAGGAGTGTTCAGGGATGAAGAAGGTCGAATTATGGCTATGTTTTCAGGGCCTATAGGCTGGGGGTATTCTCTTAGAGCTGAAATTTCAGCAGTATTAGAAGGAATTAAAAGAGCCAAACAGCTGGATTTTAGGAAGCTGTTGGTGGAGGGTGATTCTAAACTGGCTGCAGAAGGAAGAGGTTAATTTATGGAAGTTCTCGAATGAAAAAAAAAAAAAAAGAAAATTTTCCAGCTCACTCAAGACATGCAAATTCAGTTTCGGTGGTCCAAGAGGAGCGCCAATTCTTTTGCAGATTATCTAGCTAAACAAGGGGTGGGAAGAACTAGTTTCTTTTGAGCTGTATTGTAATGTGATGTTTTTTGGGTGGGGTAAGAGATTTTACCCCCTTCTTGTTGTATCTTTTCCATATCCTTTTAATTAATAAAAGTTTCTGCTATTGATCGAAAAAAACTAGAAAGGTTTTTTTTTCGAAGATGTCAACGTAAAATTTTATTGCTGAAATGACAATAGAAGTAGCACCGATTGGTGATAAAATGAGAGAAAGTAAACCAGGATTGTTTGGTCAAACACAGAGAAGGTTATATACAGCACCAATGAGAAAAACTGATTTTTTACAAGTTGAAGGGTCCAGAAGAGATAGGGGCATACCAAAAAGAACATGGTTTGAAATAGTAAGAAATGACTTGAGGGCCCATACTTTAACAAAGGATATGGCACTGAACAGAGTGGAATGGCCAAAACAGGGTTTATGTAGCCAACCCCATATAGCTGGGACAAGGCCTAGTTGAGTTGAGTTGAGTATATTATAAATCAGTGGATCTTTTAAGGACACTGATCATCCCTAAGATGACCTTGCCAACCCATGGATAATCAACTAGAATTGAATCAAAAAAACCAAAGTCAACCAATCTGATGAAACCAAAGCATGTGGACCTACAATTTAAGAGAAGAAATAGAAGCCGCAGAGCTTGCTTTTGCACACAAAATCCAGCTTCCTTCCTCAGCAACCGTGGCAAACTTTCAAACAGCTTTTCAAAACCAAACCTGTTGCAAGGTATTCGTTAGGACAGAAGAAAAAATAATGCAAAATGCCCGGAGACATCTAATGAAAAATGATTCCACTGAACTTACTTTTCTCTTTCTAAATATGGATTACTTCTCATAAGAACCAGGTTCATGATAGATATTGCTTCCACTCGTATACATTCTTCTGTGTTCTCCATAGCAATCTGATGCATCAGCCCAAAGAGTGAAACCCAGTTTATACGTGAAAGAAACGTGGCATTGGCAGGATTTTCATGCTCCTTGTATAGAGTTTCAACATTGAATAATCTTGTACTAGATGAGATATAATTTGAAAAGAAAGTTTCATCCCCTTTTTCACCAAACTGGCCTCCACCATCCACCCTCCCGGATACACAGGGCTCCAAAATATTCATACGATGCATGCCTTCAACCATAACATTGTCCCTGAGTAGAGTACACTGAAAGATCAAATCAAAGTTTATAAGCATCTAATCAAAGTTCATAAGCATCTACATTTAAAAATAGGTGAAAATATTGGGAGCATAAATCCATCAAAGCAGCATAACCACAAAATAAGGCTGATCACAAGTCCAAAAGGAAATTCTTCAGTCAAAAAAGAAAACTAGAAAAAGTACACAATAGAAAATGGTACCAAATATAATTTTAAAAATTACAATATACATAAAGCAGCATAAGGCAATTAGTCAGCTCCTGATTTTTTAAGGAACAATGTTATCCATTCAACTTAGTACTTTAGTAGTATTCAATTAGTCAGCTCCTTATTTATAACAGTTATCCTTTTCATAAATTAGTTTTATAATTTTCCCACATCTCTTCTCAGATTCTGAAGCAACCCCCTTCAACCTTTGTATTGATAGGTCACCTTTTTAATAACTATTACACTTTTTTATRGTAGATACTAATGATTTAGTGTATAAGATTATAAAAAAAAAGAGACCTTCCATGTTAAGGGCTTACTAGTAATTTTAAAAACTAAGAAAAACAAAAAGGACGATGAATGCATAGCATGAATTCATTCCTCATTGACTACTTCTACAACTAAGGGCATGAGTGGAAAAAATTGTGATGCATCATAATAAGCTACCCATACACCTAAATGAAATTGACTATGGCTAAGTTTGGGAGTGCTTATTTGAAAAATAAGTGCTTCTTTAATAAATGTTTAAAAGTAGGTGCTTATTATAAGCACTCATGAGCGTTTGGTGAAACAAACTTATTTCAATCAGGGGTAATATAGGTATTTTCAAAATGACATGGTGGGCCAAGACAGGCCAGAAATGAAATAAGCACTTAAAAATAAGCCTAAAATTTGGACCCACTTATTTGGGCTTATTTCCCAAACACAAATAAGCACTTATTGGTGTCGTCCTGGTCCAAAACAAGTGCTTATTTTTAAGCACTTCCAAACTTAGACTATGTCTAACCTGAAAGGGAAGAAGAAACCCATTATAAATTTGTACAGGAAAATGAGAACACAGACTGAACACTAAGCCATGTAGTAATCATCATTACAATCCTTTCAAATCCAAAGATATTTATTGTAAGCTATTCTGGGAGTGTTTAGAAACTTCAAAGCTCACCTTGGATATTTTTTTGGTAATAAAATAAAAAATTATTAAAAGAAAAAGAAGAATTACAAGGAAGGTGACCAGAAGTCACCTGAAAGAAAGACACAAAAGAGTTCCAAACCCACCCAAGCACCATCAAATTATAGCCCAACCAAACATGAACCAGATTACCAGAATAACAAATACCAAGTTTCCCAACAACCACACCAAAACACAATCACACCCCACAATCAGTCTTCACAACAATGAAACTCAAGCAAAACAAACCTACTTAACAGATACAAAGAACACATGAAATAAAAAACCCAACAGGTACTTCCCATCCAACATTCCGAATCGAACAAGACAAGCAACAAATCTTTTTACTTCTTTTGGATTTTCCTGTATTTCAGCATCTTCTTATTTGGTCAAAACTCAAATAGCCTTCCTTCTAGTCTACCAAAGACATTTGACAGGCTGATGCTTTTTTCAACTTTTGAATCTTCTAACTGCAAGAATACCCTTCCTGAGTTCCATTACATCCTTAGTTTTCTCATTAACCCTGAAAGATTTTCTACATAGTTAACAACAGTCTCCCTCGAAGGTAATGGACAATTCTCTTCCAATTCTTTTGTTTTTTTGGATGAATATTCTCTTCCAATTCTTTAAACATCTTCTGAACAAATTCCTCTCCTCCTACTACAAGTAGTCCCATCAATTTGAACACTTCTACTACTAAGTTTACAAGCTTTCCCAGGCAAAAAGAAAATGTTTAAGTAAGGCTCTACATAAGCTTTAAATAACGAAATGGACAAGGATGGAAATCTTAAGCCAACCAGTATAAATTTATGATTATTAATTCATTCATGGTGCAAATAACCTCTAATAACGAAAACTGTACATCTTTGACAATCACTGCCTAAATCTCAATCTCACAAGCAATACTTATTTCTACGGTAACTAATCCAACCAAGAAACAAAGGGGGAAAAGTGGGGGAAATACATCTAAATGAGTAGTTTAGCATCAAAACTTTAGCATTCTTCACTTTAAGCATCAAAACTAATACTCGACAAGATATTGGAAAACATCAGACAAACGAGTAGTCTCAAGTCCTACCTTCCATCATATCTGTCTGATTTCAACATGTATTGCAAGAGAACGTGTAAGATGTGCAGAGATCTATGTCCAATAACAGCCTGCACCACAATGGAGTAATATATTTAAAACTGGAAAACAGAATGATAGAGAAAGAATTGACATTACAACAGGCATGAATACTCCAAGGAAAAGACAAAAAACAGACGCTAAAGAATTAAATAATAGTCATGATCGAGTCATTTTCATTACAATCAATTGACAAGGCAACAACTAGGCAATAAGGCACCTATGGAGGATTGCTTAGCATAAGTGCCTTTGAGGGATTATATACTAGTTTCTTTTCATAATTTTCTCATTTTGTTAGGGCTCAGTAAAAACAAATGTTAGTGTAAGTTATCTTGAAGCCTCGAAGACTTCAAAACCTGAACCAATAAGCAAGGAAGAACCAAAGAACTTCTTCTTCCTAGGACAAAAGGGGCTTAGCCCCAATATTTTCTAAATTTTCCTTTCTCTCTTCTTTTTCTTCTCAATAATACACTGATTTTCTATATTTTAAAAATTCATACTTTTTTATGAAGATTTTAGAAGATTACTAGTTAAAGATAATCGCTGGTTGCTGTGGAACTTAAGGAATTGCACTAGAATTCATGGTCTTTTTTTTCAAAACATCCATTGCCTAGGCAACTAGGTGATAATGCACCCCCCCAACTAGCCTCACCTTGGTGCCATGAAAACTATTTATACTGTCAGATTTATTAGCTCAAGAGAAAGGACTTTTTTCATACCATAAAAGTAGCACTACAGTTAATGAAAATGAAATCAATATTCACGTCACGGAATGACAAGGGTGCAAATTAAGGGGGTGAGGATATATATGTATATGATTAACACGCCAGACAATATTCATTGAAATAGATTCTTTTGCATAAACAAACAAGATCAACACTGATTTACAAGGCGTACCTCTGTAGTTTGCAAAGAGCAAGAACATCTAGCAATGAAATGATGTGAGTAGAAAGAGTTTTCCTTTAGGAAAAACTACAATTAAAATGGATACATATAGAATCAAGTGATGGGATACACTGATTTGACGGTGCTAATCACCATATATGTGCATATATATCCAGGTAATTAACATATTACTGAATACTATCCAGCTACCTAAATAGATGCAAATCAGACATCACTAAAAAGAAGTTTTGATAAAGATAAAACTACAAAACAGAAAATTACAAATTACAAATAAAGAAATTTGGTGAGCAGATTATTTTTCTTGTAGGCAGCCTAAAAGAATTGTAATATGTTATGGATCTTGAAATCCACTTTGCTCTTTTCACCATCCTCTCTTAAGGTGTTGTACTGCAAAGAGAATACCCCCATCTCCAGCCTCAATAAGGATTTTTTTTTTGAAAAAGGTAAGGTAAATTTATTAATAGAAATCAGAACCATACAAAGGACCTCCCAGAAGGGAGCAAAGACTGAGAACAGCCTCTCAATAAGGAATTATGGAATGTCCCTATTCCTCCAAAAAGGTACAATTGTGGAATATTCCTGTTCCTTGAAAGTTGTGTACCTTTTGCTTGGTGGTAGCTAATAGGAAATTGACAAAGAAGACCCTATATGGAAAAAGTGAGGCATGGTCTCTGCATACCCCCATGCCACTGCTGCTTTTTTGGATCAACAACATGAAAACATACTAAATTGATGATAAAAAGTAATGGCATAAAAATACCCCCCAGCAACCTCACTATTCTCTTTTTTGTTTTATGTTTGTCTCATATTGATCAAAAATATGTCAATATGCCATGGTTACATATTTACTCCTTTACTCTTAGATGTTTTCTGCAGGACTCAAAATGGTTGAAAAGAACAGTCCGTGGAATTCAAACCAACATCAACTGTTCCACATAATCATAAATGTATAAAAATCAAGATTTAGACTTGCAAATTTCTTATCAGTCATTTAGATCCTTCTCTTATCAGCAACCAGATGAAAGTGACTTAATTAACAAGGCATAGATGAGAAGAGAGATAAACGCCCTACCATCTAAAAGAACAATTGAGGAAAACAAAGTGGTAAACAGTAAATACTGACCAACACCCAGGGGTGTTAAGTTGCTGGTTCATTTTAAGTGTGGTACTTTTTGAGAAAGCTGGACCTCAAACTTCTTTCTTTAAAAGACAATAGAGGTGCCCAAGACTAGTGGTTCCAAGAACTGGAAATATAGGTTAAGAAACAACTTTCCCTTTTTAAAACCGTATGGAAAAATATAAAACATAGAATGGAAGCCTCCTTCAAATAATAGAATGAAGATGAATTTTGATAGGAGCTCCCTGGGAAACCCAGGAATGTCAAGAACTGGGGAATGCAAAAACTCCAGTTCCAGAAATTCCTGGTTTTCCCAGGGAGCTCTACTCCCTCTTCTTCCAGTATTTTTTACATCCTTGAAGAATCTAAGGAGTTTTTTCCTTTTAATTAATTAGTGAATGTAGTGCTACTGTATTCATAAAAAAATTGTAGTGCTACTGCTTCAGAAAACAAATAGGAGATACATCAAAGATTCTTGCCATGCAAAATGTGYTTAAATATTGGAATACCACATCCAAAAGACTCACCATTTCGTTCTACAAACTCCAAATATGAAAACAGATTTTTATCACTCACATTTCGAAGAACACAGAGGTCTAGTAGTGCTTCATATACAGAATCCAAATGCACCAACCTATTGCTGAGCTGTAACATGGATAAGAAACACATCAATCAAAGAATTATAAAAATCAAACCAAATAAGCAAAATATAGTTCATGCCAACAGTAATTTTAACAAATACATTTAGGACAACAATGCAGCCTCATTTGATGAAATGCATATCCTTTTCATCAGTCTAGCCTTTCCAATAAACCAAAGGATGAGGGCAAAAGGATATTGTCACTAGAAATGCCTTGGCTCCAGCAACAACAAATCAATATCCACCATGTTGCAAAACTATAGATTATAGGACTCAAATGCTGTGGACAACTTTGGACTTATGAACCAACAATTTTACATTTCCACACTAGCTGATGAGAGGACTTTCATGAGCACGAACATATTAAGCAAACTGATGCATGGTTACATATAGACATATGTAAACAATGATGTCCCAATAGCAGCGGTACTAGCAGCAGTACAAGGTATACAAATGGATAGTCAAATAGGAGTGAACAATTTGTTAGTAGGAGACTCCAAGGTAGTAGTGGGCTGGCTGAATAGCCCAGACACAGTTTGTTGGGGCTACAGGGATCTGTTAGAGAAAGTTAAATGGATGACAAGAAATATGACTGTTAGGTTCCAGTGGGTTAGCAGATCAGCAAATGTAATGGCTGATTCTCTGGCCAAGCAAGGGGTGTCAAGGGGTGATCTGTTTTGGGCTACTTTGTAATTCGTATCTAAGGTTTGGGCATGTTTAGTGTTTATGATTCAGTCCTTGGGGGAGGTAACATCTCGTGCCTCTTCCTAGGCTTCTTGTATTTCTGATATTTATTTCAATAAAATTACTCTCATTTATCAAAAAAAAAAATGATGTCCCAATAGTTTTCCATTTCTTAACATGGAACAAATGTAACTCCATAAGATTATTTGCACCAAAATATACTCAAAATAAATTCTTTTTTTCAGATTGGTCACTATAGATAATATATTGATATAGAATAGGACACAATGCAAGCCATGAAGAAGGCAAGCAAGATTACATCTTGTAAACTGCAATGAAGTTGATGACCTCACCAAAAAAGGGAGCACCTAAACCCTCAAGCCCTTGAAATTACCATCCCCTACCCAGCTCAATCTAAAATGCATAGTTGCAATTTTTCTTTTGTTCATGGAGAGAATTTTCATATGCATTGAAATGTTTGATTGAAAGAAATTTTTACTTTTTCTTTTAGTAGATTCATGAAAAAAATATTGTATGCAAAAAATACCAAACAATTGAAAAACCAACATCTTGTCACCACCCACTAAATGATCCCATCCAAAGTTGCAGCATACCTTACAACTCTGAATCAACTAATCACAATTCCCCAAACCCAGACTTAATAAAAACATACATGCCTCTTCAACCCCTACCCCTGTTTTCTCCTCTTCCTGTCTCGGGTTTATTCCACCTGTCCTTAAAGAGCTTCTTCCACCTATGCCAATCATCTACTAAAGACAGGATGTTCATTTACCCTATAATTGTCCTTCTCAACATATTGGTGATCCTTATCCTTTTCATCCAGCTTCATAAAGCATTCACAAGCTATTCTTAACCCTCCCAAGAAGCCAACCTCAACTTGATGCTTAATTCTGCTGTTGCAATTGTTCCAGTTGACTTCAATGACTTAAATGTTTCCCCTTTATGATGAAACTAACAGGCAATATTAAGTAAACCACCGAAGAAGCCAACATGGCTACAAACCATTTTCTGGATATGAATGAATTAAACCTTGCCCCTTATTGCCTTCCAAGGTTGCTCTTGAAGCATCAAACAACAACTTCAAGGACCAGTTTTTTTTTTTTGGTATACAAGGAAATGTAGGATCAAAATTTTAGACAAACTTGCAAACCTACAAATTTATACCATGAGAATAGTAGTAGCATAACAAGATCATGCCAATCAAAATAACATGTTTAGGCAATCAATTTATGCCAAAAAGTGGAAGTGGACTCTGGAGATTAGCTAATTTAATAAATAATACTGTGGCTCTGTTGAATATCCATCTAGAAGAACCCCAAGGGAGTAAATATTATACCACAGTTGATATACTTGACAAAAAAGGCATTGAGAGGACCTTTTCTATGTGAGAGCACTGTCTTTAATTTTTTATATTTTGTGCAGATTTGTGCCTCCTTCTTTCATGTAAACCACCTTCTTTTTTGCAATAGAATACAATAAGTTATTACTTTTCCTTAAAAACTAAATAAAAAATAAATATTACATACAATAGCAAGCATAAAGATGCATCTCACTAGCACAAAGGTATATATACAGGCATCATTTAACTAAGCACCTTTGCTAACATTGAATAGAACCAAGACACTTTTGCAGCTTCAATGGATTGAGCAGACTTGATAGAATCATGTAAGGCAGTATCAAAGAAGCTTTTATCTACTAGAGTTTCCTGAGTTAATTTGGAGGACAAGTTCATGCCCGTGCAACTAAAAAGGATGTGAAGGTCTTCTGAGCATGTTGAAAACAACCTAGAGAGCAGGTTTCTTCCTGATCCTTGCTCATTCGCAGTATCCCAGATGGAACACAACTTGCTTGAAAGATCATGATGCCTACCAAACATCAGATGAGGAGTACAAGCATCAAATGTCTCTGTCTGGACTCCTACAGCTTTACAGCTCATTTGTGCTAACAAAAAAAAAATCCAAATAGCAAATATGTTAGAACTATATCTTACAACACTTAGCATGAGGCAAGGTGTTTCACCAGCCTAAAATGTAAGGCCTAAGCTGCGTGTGCATGTCTGCCAAAAACAATGTATTTAATTATACAAGTTTATGCTTCATGGGCTTTGTGTCTTCTATCAGGTTAAGGTTATCATGCATAAACCATGTGGAGGCACAAGTAAAACACAATTTCTATTTTCCTTTTAGGGCATTCATATTTTTGTTGAAACCACTTTACATGTCCACAAGGTCCCAGATCTAACCAGAAGCTTGGAAATGTAGGCAACCCACATAAAGCTTATGCCCAAGGTTCAAAATATTGATACATATCGGAGGCTTCCCGATACGCCCTTAGAGGGGGTGTTTCGGGGTCTCAACTGGTTCAGGGGGTGGATGGACCTTAAACCAACCCCTCGGAACCAGATTTGAAAAAAAATAAATAAAGAAAGTAACAGCTACCGATACGCCAGTAGGCATATCGGGTATATCGATATTTTGAACCTTGCATATGCCTCATCAACATGCCATGCTTCATACCTGGACATCAAGGCACCTCAGCTAGGCCTTGCCTAGAGGCATGCCTTGATACCTCCAAGCTCCAACATCTTCACAAAAAAATAGAAGAAAAACAAAAATATCAAGTGATGAAATAACAGGATAGAAGAAACACCAAACTACAAACACATTTTGAATCCAACTCTTACCATTAATGATCCGATGACCATTTAAGTCAATTGAAGAATTTGCAGAGTGATATTGTAAAGAAATGCGAGGATTGTCCTCAACAGGAGCTCCACATTCCCTGCCATTGCAGCATTCTCAACCATGACTTTCCAGAAAATATGGGCAACTAAGTTATCGTGATACAAATAAGAAATATCAATGGACACCCTAAAAAGGACTAACAAGATTCACATAGGTCAAAACTCAAAATACAATAAGAATGATATGCCTCAACTACTGAAAATATAGGTGAAGTGGTGAACCAGAAATAAGCCACAATCAAGTGCAATATAAGAACAAGAATTCTCCTGAGGACTCTTGCTTCTTTTTCTTAATGTGCAATTAAATTAAGTATGCCAACTTGCCCAGCTTATTTGATTAAGAAATTGTTTTTCTAAAAAGAGAACTGTTAATTCATGTTTTCTTTCTCCATCATTATTCATTCCCATGGAGAGGGGATAACTAAATAAACTTCACTTGAATCCCCACAAAAAGTTATCACCTCTTGAGACCACAATACCAATCAATTGATGACTCCATACCATTTGTCTGAACATAAATACAAATTTACATAATTTCAGCCTGTCTCTACTTCATCTGGACACTGGTTATCAATCTGACCAGAGAACATCTTCAAAATATTTGGTCAACCCTAAAGATGCCATCAAGTTGGATTAGACATTTCACTTATAGGGTTTAATGCATCTCATTTACAACTGAGAAATTACAACTGGGAACAGAGTAGTAATGAAAACAGCATGAAAAACAATAGCTCCATATAAGCACATGGATGGTGCAAAACCACTAGACCATAAAATACCCCAAAACGCAAAGGAATTGGGACAACATCAACTGGTTATCTAAAATCTCAAAATAATTGCCCCATATATACCCTCATTAGATCTTAGGAAGAATGCCAAAGACAGGCCACTACCAGTAAAATCATTGCCAAAGTTCACTCAATAAACACAAATATACATTTACACTTCAAAAATTACAATAATAAAGGAGGTAGAAATGTCATGTAAGTTACCTTTCCTTAACATCAAATTTCTTAAGCTCAATTGAATTCTAGAAAATAAAAGTTAATGTTATGAAACATCTAAGGTGATGTTTGGTATCGATGATGATTCCCCCTTTCCGGTTATCCAGAAATCGGTGATTTTTGAAAAATCACCAAAATTTGTTGTTTGGTATCATTTATGCCATGTAAGCTGATTTTTAAGAAATAGCCTTTGAGTCTGTTTGGTACTGATTTTCAAGGGCCAATTATCTTTGTATTAGAGTTATTATTCAATGCCATGTCATCCTCAAAAAATCAGAATCAGCTAAAAATCAGGAAACTACCAAAAAAGGTGATCCTTGAAAAGGGCTGATTTCAATAATCGATATTTGGCAGATTTTCCGAAAATCAGCAAATCAAACAGAAATTTCAACGCTGGTTCCTCTAATGCTGATATGGCTCTGACATGGCAGTGATTTTCAAGAAATCATCATCAATGCCAAACATCACCTAAAAGTTTGTTGAAGTCACCAATTGAAAAGGAATTGCAGTTTCACTCACACATTTGTGCTCTTCAAATGGTCAATCTCAGCATCCTTTGCCTCAATCTGTGAAACAAGAGAATTAAGCTGCTTTTCTTTTTTATCCCTGTCCTTCTGAAGCTCCACACATTCTTGTTCCTAAAAATGCATGATCATTTTATTCACAAACCTTGATGAGAATGTAAATCCTTAAGCAGCTTAGCTAATTAGAAAAGGTATAGAATCAATAATAATGCAATAAAGTAAGAATTTGATGCATAGATGATCAAAAAAGGAAAAAAAAAAGAACTCGACACATAGAAGAGACCACAAAGCTATATCCTTTTCTACAAAATTTTTTTAAGTACAAGAAAATGTTATGGATAGGCTTTGCCAACTTCATAGAAAAGGAAGTTCATAGAAGTCAGGAAAAAAAAAAAAAACATTCTGCCATTTCAATCTATCAAGGTTCATTCACTAATTAAATCAAAACCCTTGTAATCTTCTCAGTACTGCAACCCATGCCCTTTTTGGCCTTCCCCTTGTCCTTTCAGAGACTTCAACTGGAACTAATTAACTCATTTCATCTGTTCCATAATTAGTCTTTTTTACATAACTAAACAATTCCAGTTGGGATTTCTCTTAGTTTACCTCTTACCAGAGATACTTTTTGTAGTTGCAGTATTTTTATGTCATCCCCCTAACTTGCCACCAAATTATGTAGCTTTAAATCCTTGTCTCAGACACAACAGTTTTATGTGCATGCTTCTATATGGTTATCAAATACTTTCTCTGTAAAGCACGGCCTATCAACAATATATTTAAATGCTCAATCATTTAGAAGTCAGTGATAATATTGGTTCTTGCAGTCCCTCGATAAATGAGAAACATCATTGACCTTATTATGCTATTCAAGAATTTAGATGATTGTTTTGATGCTCGTGGCATTCTTTGGAAATGGAAATGCAACTCAAATGTTGCTAACACAAATAGAAATGATAGAAAACTGGGAAATAACATCCCAAGTAGGAAAGGTTTCATTTTTTCATCTTTTTCATTCCTCCATCCCTCCTTCTATTTTAAGGTTTGAGATACATAAACCTCTCGCATTTCTAGACCAAGAGACAGCTTACATTTGACCAGGTAGTGTGTACTACATCCCACTTCCATTTCACAGCGACCATTTGGCAAGGTTCTCCACAAAGAAGTGGAGTTTAACCTTTCCAAAGAAATTACGGTACTGGATTCTGTGATGCCAAAGAAATTATAGTCCTAGCTCCTATGATGCAAATGCTAAGACTCTAATTATCAGACAGAAGCTTCATAAAAGATGGCTCTCCAAGTCCATGTTAGCTATATTTTCGGAACAGGTAAAGATGCTTAAAAGTGTAGTGTTTATGCGGACAAGGATCAAAAGCTCGTCCATCCATGACACCGGTCTTGTTCAACTGAACCGCTCGCTTTACGTCTAAAACTGATGGATGCATCTCCATTTCCCATAAAGACCTAGACCTAAGAAATAAAAGAAAGCACGCATCCAACTTTAGGCAGTTTGTGAATCTTGTGAATCTCAAGAATGAAGACGAATAAAAATAAATTGGTATTTCAGAAAAGAAAAGTGAGCAAGAAACTTTATCCAAAGATCAAATACGAAGCATTTTACACATAAATATCAATCGGGTTGTTGAACATTATGCATAAGGAGATCATAGAGCAACATACCAAGTTAGCTAGCTGCTTCGAAACACGCCCCAGTTCTCTCTGTCATTCAAATAAAGGCAATAGCGAATGTCAGTTACAGCTATGCTCCATTATCATATAAACCTCATTTTGGCTCGCGATCCATAAATCATAATCAGCGCTTGATTCGAATCTTAGAAGCAATAATTTTTCTATATAAAACCAATAGAAGCAAAAGAAACAAATCACAAAGAAAGCGATAAAGAGACAGTTCATTTCAGAAGATAAAAAGTGGAGAAAGAAAAGAAAAGTACTATTTGATTGGAACCCTACCTTCAATCTGTTGATTTCGAAATCTTTCTCCTTCGCAGCCCGAAGAGCAGCAGGAGACTGAGGAGCAACGACTGATGTGGTTTTGGTAATGGCTGAGGGTTGGAGGTGATGTTGGTCCGGAAGCCTCTGAGAGAACTCTCGAGGAGGGGAGAAGCTCAAGAAATCTTGGTGAGCAGGGTAAAATGGTGGTGGATCGAAAGCCACCGTACTGAGCTGAGACAGCTGCTGGTGGTGGTGGTGGTGGTGATGGTGGTCCTGGTAGTTCTGAGTAGGGTTTGTGGAAGACATGGCCATGAGACCTTCTTCCACACGAATAGCTTGATCCAGGAACGTCTCGTCCCAGTCGTCGAACTCCTCGAAACTCATCGCTTCCTCTCTCTCTCTCTCTCTCTCTCTCTCGTTCGCTGTCAAACCGGCGGGAGATTGATTGAGATTTGAAGAGTGTTATGCTTAATTGCTTCTTTTTCTTATGCACATGTACTCACTTAGATGTTTGCGTTCGCGTTATCTTCACAAGTAAAGGATATTGAATTGTTGACGATGAGAAGAAAGGATCGGACTCTGCTTGTAGGCCTTGTGTGATTGCCTCCGGATTGGAATCTTTTGCTTTTAAGGACATAAATGATATAACATACTACGAAACGGTCTGATCTACCGGATTTGGCTACCGACCCAGCGGCGAGACCGAATCGCTCCTCACACCGACCTCACAGCATGATCCAGCCGCACATCGGAAACATCTTTCTTATTATTGGAAGATACTCCCTCCCAATAGAGACCAGATCTGCTCCTCACACCTGATGCTTCACAGGCGCCTCACACGCACATCCTATCATGCATTGGAAACATCTCCCGGTATTATTCACGGGAAATGTTACCAATGCACGGTGGATGTGTATGTGAGGCACCCATTTGTGAGGAGCAGATCCCGTCTCCTCCCAATACACGATGGGATGTATTTATGAGGTTGGTGTGAGGAGCAAATCTCAATTCACCAGCAGCAATGTCTCACATCGACGTGGGTTGCAACGGAATTGGGAAATCCTCTACACAGAGTAACGGGATCTGCTCCTCACAAATGGAAACCGGATTCAGTCAGAGCAAAATCCATTCAAACAACCATCATAGCCTTGTATTAGGAATATCTCCCCATAAAATAAAACATATACATACGGAGATGTTCCCAATGCAAGGTTGTAAAGACTGTTCGAACAGGCCTTACACTGTTTGAAGCTGATCTCTCACAAATGGATACATCTCCCGTTTATAATAACCAAAAAATACAGAAAATATTCCCAATGCATGATAGTATGTGCGTGTGAGGCGCCAAGTGTGAGGAGCAGATATGCATCCTACATAGAGCGCTCCCACTCTGGTTTTGCTCCTCAAACCAACATCACAGTCACATTGCACCGTGTGTTGTACCATAATGTGGCTAATACATACTGTGAAGTCTGTAAGAGCACTCTATGAGCAATCCTGAGATTTCCACTCAACCAGATGAAAAAAAAAAGGTAAAATACTTAAATCACCCCTATGTTTTAATAAATCTATACTATTTTTAAAAAGCATTAATAGTATCAAGAATGTTTCTTAAATTTTCAGATGACAAAATTTATTCTTTCATATATAAATTTATTGATAAAAATATGACAAATAGGATAATTTATCATTGATACTAAATGAGTTGAAAATAGTTAATTTTAGGATAAAATACAAAAACCTCTCCTGAAATTCTAACAATCATAAGAACCTCCCTTATAGTTTTACTTGAACAAAAACAATCCCCTAAACTTTTAAAAAATTTGACAAAAAACTTACTGATCGAGATGAAAACCATTAAAATTATAAAAGTGCCCTTAATTAATTGTCAAGGTGTCATTAAAATATTTCAAAATATTGGAATTGTAAAAATTTCAAAATACTGGTTTCTAATTTAGGTTTAAAGAAGCTTATTCAACAGTTCTTTTCCGACAACCGAATACCAGTGGCTGAAATAGGTGGTAGGAGTTGTGACATTACAAGAACGATTTTTGCTGGCAATATGGCAACTACAAGAAGCCATGAAAATGCTAGCTAGGTTTTTAGCTGACAAGCTTACAAAGGGGACGAGTGAAGAGAGAAAGAAGGCTACTTATGAGATCCGATTACTTGCAAAATCAAGCATATTCAACGATTATTTCTTAGCAGATGCAGGCACAATTAAGGATTACAGTATCGGTATCAGGTATCGTATCAGACAACTTGGATACGGATACACTTGGGAAACGCTTGAATACGAACGAAAAATATGAAAATGTTTGGATAAGCTAAGGAAATGCATATAAATTCAATAATTATATTAATAACTTAAAGTTTAATATCAAAATAACTATAAATAACGTATAAATACATAGGGATTGTATATTTTAATGGTATATCTGAAGAAATATATTATTATTGATATAACGAGAAGCATAAATATTATATAAATTTATTGATAATGCATCAAATTTTATTTTTATTAAAATCCAAGGCACAAAAATTATGCAAACATTATATTTGGATTATTATATCAATTATTTATTTTACTATTTCAAATTTTAACATAAAAAAAAAATAAACCAAAAATAAATTTGCAAATTTTCAGTAAATAATATTTTCACTTTTGTTAACAATAAATATGTTTATATAAAATGTAAATGAAATTTTGAAGATTCATATCATATAAAAATTCATAAATTTTGATTACAAAAATAATTATTCATTATTAATATTTTTATTTTTATGATTTTTTTAAAATAAAAAAAACTAAATTTTATTTAAATGTATTTTAGTGGATTTGATAGATTCAATTTATATTATATTCGCAAATATTTTGTAAACAATATTTTATCTTTGTAATAATAAATACATTTTTATTTAATGCAAATTGAAATATTAATTAATAATTTATAAAATGATTATTCTATTAATAATATTTTTATTTGTATAAACATATTGAAATTAAAAACCATTTATATATATGTGGGTTTGATAAATTATTTAATTTATTGATTTATAAAATAATATTTTTGAATATAATTCTTGTTAATTTGACTTGGAGTTATTGAACTTTTTTTTTTGGTAAATGAGTTATCGAATAGTGTATAGATTAAATATAATATATTAATTATAATAAAACATAATTTATTTCACTTATTATCAAGAAATGGAAGTTGGCCCGATGGTTAATATCCTTACACTCTTGGACGTTGCGCGACTCAGGTATGAGGGATTGAATCACGTTAAGACCATTTTTTCTAGTGAAAGCTATGAAGTTTCTGTGCGATACGCGTGTTCGATACGCCCCATATCGGGCGTATCATGTCATTTTTTTAATCCTTGGGCACAATCTTCGAATTATTAAAGCTTCTATCCACAACTGATCCATCAATAGAAGAGAATGCCACGGGCAGCCCTACTGAACATTTCAAAAGATTTTTGGCATATAATAGTTGTTACACTTTGTTTATCTTGTTTTTGTTTTAGTTGAGGAGTATACAAAATTGATTGAATAGATGCCAAATGCAACCTCTTCCTTGGTAGAGCTGATGTGGATTGGAACAACTCGTGAGAAGAATAATGCTTGTGAGTAGAAAACAGATCACCGTTGTTAAGAGTTGCACTGGCGGTCAAACGAAATAGAGTAAAGGGAAAACAGAAAGAAGAAGAATGAAGAATAGGAAGAGAGGGAGAGATAGAAAAAAAATGAAGAAAATGGGAGAGGGGAGAGAAGCGGAGTGGAGAGAAAGAGAGAGCTTTAAGGAGGTTGCCGGTGCTAGTTGTCAAAACTCTTTTTGTTGCCGTTGTAAAGAAGATGAACAATGCCTTTCGGTTGCTCTAGCTAGATGGAAGAGAGGGGGGTAGTGGGGACGAAGAAGAGATATGGAAAAAGAAGAAATTAAGGGCATAAACCAATGGGGGGAGATTGGGGGAAAGGATTTCACGTCATTCCCTCGTTAGGTCATTATGCTTCGAAATGAAGGGGAAGCAGGGGCAATTCCAATATTTTGAAATATTCTAATGATGCATAAACAATTAATTAAGGGCACTTTCATAATTTTAATGGTTTTCCGTCTGGGTTAGTGACAGAAGGCAGGTTTTGTCGAGTTATTTAAAAGTTAAGGGGAGTTTTTTATTAAAGTGAAACTATAGGGGAAGTTTTTATGATTATCATAAATTTATGGGAGGTTTTTGTACATTACCCTTAATTTTAAGATATTCAGTACATTCAATTCTCTCTCATTAAATCAAACATTTAAAGTTGCATTCACTTTCACTGAATCACATATTTAATGCATATTTGTTTATTCTCATTATTAAATTCTATTAATTAAATCTATGCATATTAAATTAATGATTACAATAACATAAAAACTTATATTTTAAAATTTACCCAAATAAATAATATTTTAATCTAGGTGGTGATAATAAATTAAACCATTTTGGGCCAAATACGCCAATCTATGTTGCCATGATTAAATAATAAAACTCTAAAATAGATAAAGTGTAAAAAATATAGAAATTAAAAAAAAAAACTGAAAACATTTTTAACATGGATAATGATGTGCTATGAGGAGCAAATATAGATTCATTTGAATCTTTTTGCCAACAAAAAATCCACGCTAATACATTACAACATGATCTTTGTCCACACATCATGTAGAACTTGATCTATGTTCGCACATTATGCGTAGGATCCACCATGCACATGATATGCGGGCATAGATCATGTCATCAAGTTTGGGGACCAAAATGGCACTTAAAAAAATCATTTTAAAATTCTTCATTCATTCATCAAAAAAAAAATTATTGGGATGGATTTTGTTGGCAAGAGACCACAACTAGGCAAACCCCCCATGCAAGGTGGTGGATTCAAAAGGAACTCTTCAAAGAGCTAAAGACACAAGTTATTTGCCATTTGGCCTGTGTTGCACTTGAAACATTGATGGAGGCAGGGGCGGAGCTAGGAAATTTTTATAAGGGGGCCAAAACCTAAATGAAATATAGATGGACCCATAGAGGGGCCAACCACTAAGGTGGACAGTGGGGGGAGGGGGAGTTTTACATAAAAAACTATATTACTATGAAGATTTTCTGAACCATAGGGGGGGCCATGGCTCCCCTGGGTCCTCCCCTAGCTCTACCCTTGGATGGAGGTATGGGTGTTTACAGTCCGGTTTGGTTCAGTATAGAGAGGATCTTGAACCAAACCAGTAATTTTCTTTAACAAGAAATTCTCAAACCAAATTGGACCATTTTAGAAAACCTAAATAACATGTATACATATATAAATAACAAATATAATTCAAATATCAAATTGAGATGTTAACAAGTGTCGCTTATTATTACTATTATATGAATTACATTCACACTTTGGTGAACATAAATAACTCTTTGGGCAGCAAATTACAAGTTAAAAATTGAAACAAACAACAATAATGTATGAAATGTTAAATAAATATATACATATACATATATTGTTTAAATATATGTATTATATACTAGTAAAAGTGTACGCACGTTGCACGTGGCGATAT